CCAGAGAGTCTGTTTATTATTCGCTCACTTTTGCTACTGCATAAAGGCTGAAGGGAGAACTGGGACACTGCGTTAAGCAACGTGTGTGAACGTACATGCTTGTTATATACATGTATTTTAACAGGGGGTCAGAGATGGTCTGTGTGCTTAGACTAGACATCATAAGCAGGCAATATGGAGGAATACATTATTAATGTTCTTTTGCAATTAGGAAACTGAGACTTGGGCACATTACTGATTTGCTCCAAGTCATGTTGCTGCGATAATGCCCAGTCTGCATTTCTTAAACCAGGGCCTGCAGAATTTAGTGACAGCTCTTTGGAGGGAGTAGTTTAGTCATTGCAATTGTCCTCTTCTAGGTACGCCTGGCCCAGCTGGCCCGTGAAGATGCAGAGAGAGAAGTAAAAGAAAAGGAGGAAGCCCGTCGGAAGAAAGAGCTGTTAGAAAAGATGGAGAAAGCGCGCAATGAGCCCGTGAATGACTCGGACATGGTGGACAAAATGTTTGGATTCCTAGGGACAACCTCCTCACTGCCTGGCCAGGAAGGACAAGCACCCAACGGCTTCGAGGTACTGGAGAAATGCACAGGTCTGGCGACCACATGAAAAGCATTAGCAACACATTGATGAATCAGGGCAGAGCGGGGCTCTGAAGGCTTCCTTCTAGCCCAGGGTCTTTTGCATGGCCAGAAGGCTCTGGGTGCGCCCAGGGGCAGTGGATGGGAACAGACGTACAATCTGCAACCCTTCCCTGGGGTTATCATGGAGATGGGAGCAGCATTGCTGCATGATCCCTGAAGCTTTGTAACCTTTGAGATCTGCTCCCTCATGGTTTATCACGTCTCACAACATCTAGCTCAATCCCCCTTTGCCCTGTGCTGGGAGTGGGGCCGTGCTCAATGCTTCTGCCAGGGGACCTTGCTGGGCACAGGAACAACCCTTAGGACCTTGCCAGGACAGCAGGGTTGCATTTCACAGCATTGCCTCCTTTTTGGCTGAAAGCAGGCAGACAGAAACGTCAGGGAAGGGGGTAGATCAGTGTCCAAAGCCATGCAGCATGCTTGATACATCCTTCCCTGGCAGGATCTCGAGCGAGCCCAGAAGGAGCTGGAGGAAGAGGACCTTGATGCAGCATTGCCTCTCCCTGAGGAAGAGGAGGAAGATCTCTCAGAGTACAAATTTGCCAAGTTTGCCGCAACGTATTTCCAGGGCACGACAACACACACCTACATCCGTCGGCCTCTCAAGCAGCCTCTCCTGTACCATGAGGATGAAGGAGACCAGTTGGTGAGGAAGGGACAAAAGCCCCTGAGCAGGATGGGATGGGTTGGAGGATGTCTAGGGAGCCCTTCACTCAAAGGTCACCAGTTTGCCTTGGGATACACTGGTGTGCTCAGAGGTCGATGGAGAGCACAGCAGTGTTGGCATGCTTTTATCATTAGGGTTAAGAGCAGAGTTAACAGAGGAGGAACTTCAAGAGCAGAACTACATTGAACCTGCACAGCTGTAATGAACATCTGTCTATCATCTTGCCCTCACATTGGTTCTTTGCAGTTGGGTAGGAGTTGGCTCGCTGCCTCTCAATAAGGGTGGCATCTCCTAGCCAAGAACCAGACTCCCTGCACTGTGGAGTGCACAAATACAGTCATGGTGGCATGAACGCTGTGCCTGAATCTGGTGGTCCTTGCTGCTAGCCTGGCCAGCTTTGGCTCGCACAGATGATGTGCAGAATGCAAACAAAATGGTTGTGTGAGATGCAGGAAGATGCCATCCTGAAGATGGATGGGGAGATCACAGTGGCAGTTGGGACACGCTGCCAAGGTGCAGGCACATGGCTGGAGCATGCTCAGAGATAGCTGAAGATGGTTTTGGAACAAATGGCAAAATTGTACCCTCCCAGGGTCCTGCAGTTTCTTTTACCTGCTCTGTCACTATCACATTGCTGATTTCTCTAGTCACATCCCTATACAACGACAAGGCAATGCAATAGCCGTTTCTACAAGGCAAAAGGCAACTGTTTGTGTTTAGTAACTGCTCTTAAAGTTCTTCCTGTCTTAGTCCCACTTCATACTTTGCATCTGACTTGAAAAGTCCATCGTGTAGTTTGCACTGGTCCAACTCTCATAAATTTTCATTCACGGCCAAATGACAGGCTGCTTTACACTCCTAAAGCTCCTCTTCCTGATGGATTCCATATGGCTTGACCACCACATCCACTGTCCTCCTGAGAGCTAATGAAATTAAACTTTCCTTTCAAATAGGCAGCCCTTGCCGTATGGATCACTATCCTCCGTTTCATGGGAGACCTCCCTGAGCCTAAATATCACACAGCCATGAGTGATGGTGGTGAGAAAATCCCTGTGATGACCAAGATCTATGAGACTCTTGGGAAAAAGACTTATAAGAAAGAACTGCAGGCGCTGCAGGGAGAAGGAGAGGTAATTGATACCATTGTAAAAGAATCAATATTATTAGGTGATGGATATTGAAATATGTCTGTAAAGAAACTATATATAGGGTTTACTGTATTTGTCTATTTTATCTTGGTTATGTTATGAAAGAAGAACTGTCTCTATGTCAGATATTGGTCCTGTCCCTCATTCGCCACAGGGATAACTGAAAAGAAGTGCCTGGGCATCTGTCATGGGGCTCCATGCTCATTTCTACTCCCCGTAGGGTAGAAAGACATGGGAAGGGAGCACAATGTCTTATGTCATCGACCTCTCATTTGGGGATTTTTTTTTTGATTTGCCCTGGGTCAGAGGGGAGAAAATTAAAAATATGCCCTTAATTTTGGAGCAGGAAATAAAGAGACACCAGAAGACTGAGCTGTGGGAATAAGAAAAAAAAAAATCCCCATTACATCCTCAGTGCTTCCTGGGATGTCATTCCATGGCTTTGTCTAGATGAGACATTGCTCTGGATAAAACAGTCTGTAGCCCTGAAATGCTTTCATCTTTGACCTTTAATTTTAACCTTATAAAAGAGAGAAAGATATTGTCTGCCTTTGGGATTGCCTATATGATGCTGCTACATTTATAGTAAGATTTTTGTTGGATCATTTGGACAAGCCCCTGTGACATTTGCACATGTAAACTGACAAATGTCCTAGTTTTCTGAAGACTGAGTACTTTCACAGTACTTTCACTTACCTGAAAGTAACCTCATCTGGATTCTAATTCTGTAAAAATATACACCAGGATCAAATTTCCTTTAATTCTACCTATCATTTATTTTTTGATTATAACAAAAAGTCATATTTTGGCCAGCTGAGTCATCAGGTAGTACAGAAGAGAAGGAAAATTTAAGCAGTCATTTGTGTCTGTGGTTGTATTTCCTCTGTAGAGTGCACAGCAACAAATCCAGATTTAGAGTACTGACTTGGACTTATACTGGATATAAAACATCACAGTTGCAGGACAGTGCTGATCTGGCTAAAAATCACAGCCATTTCAATGCTGTTAAAATGTTCAGAGGTAATCTGGTTTAAAAAGTGATTTTCCATGTCATCCTAATCCCACAGCTATCATAAAGTTGGTATGAAAGCAGAGAGTCAACAGGAACTCCTTATTACATCCTTTATTATTGCTGTGTAATCAGTGCCTGTGTCTGTCCCATGTCAGTTTTGTACTTGTGGGAGATGTGATAGAGCACAGAGCTGAGAATAATGATGATGAAAACAAAAAGGAGAACGATACCTGCTCATGAACCTCTGGCTAGATGACTTCCAACTCACAAACCTGCTGTGCAAATGGCACCTCGGAGAATGATCCTGCTCATTTATTTGTTGTGCAGGAGCAAGATCAAACGTGTTTCAGCAGAACAGAATGGACTAGGATTCAGCCACTTGAGAAAAGTTGGCTTTTTTCAGTTTTCTCCAACATGTAGTTTTGATCAGCGTGAGGCTCTCTGAGTAGGAACCAGACGCAAAATTCAGGGCCAGACCTGGGTTATCACAGCACACCGGAACGTGGTTCAAGAGTTTTTGTTCCTACCAAAGTCCCCTTCTGCACCTGGGATCCCTAGGGATCCCCTTCCTCTTCCAGAACCCTTGGGCAGGCAGGGAAGCCACCTACTCGACAGCACTCTGTGCTTTACTGCATTTCACTACGTGTCTCTTGCTTTGCAGAGTACTCACATTGACGGGCACAAGAAGAATAGTGTGCGGCACAAACTGGTCTCCTTAACACTCAAGAAGAAATCCAAACTGACGGAGGAGGTGAGGGGAGACGCTTGGCCGCCTGGCAGCACAAGTGCCGTTGGATTGTCTGCAGCCCTCTCTGACTCTCTTCTGCTTTTCCCTAGACAACATAGAACCAGCCCTCCTCTGGGTTTGGCGCTACCTGTCTCTCTGCCTGAAAGATTTAAGGAGTGTTTAAGGGGAAAGGTTGGCTTCCCGTGTCTCCTTGAGTCATTCTGCACTTCGCACCGGCCTGCCCTCGGGTCCCGTTCTCCATCCATCCAGCACCTTCCCTCCCCTCTTTCACAGTCCTCCATCCAGCTGCCGATACCTGTCACCCCTCCGTGATGGTCTGAATGTCACCCCTGCTTTTAGATTCCTGCCCTCCTCAGTGGCATAGGTGGCAGAGATGGGGTATCCAAAAGCACTTGTCCACCCCCTGCTTCTGCTCCCATCCCGTGCCAGTGGCAAAATTCCTGATGGCAGCTGTTAGCCCAAGGACAAGAGCTTTTGAATATCCCATCTCGAAAGAGTGAGGAGTAATAAGCTATTTGGGAGGGGATGAGAGAAGTGGAAAGACATGAATTCGGTGTTCTTTTACACATGCCTGGTCCTCCTCCAGAACAGGCATCATCTCACCTGATTCTAGGTGCTTAAGAGTACAGAAATCCCTGAGTTAGCCACCCTCATTCCTTCTAGAATCAGTGGGGATAAATAGGGTCCGATTCTTCTTATAATAAAGTGATTGAGGACACACTCTAGAAATGCCCCTATCTCTGCAGCGGCTCTAAGGCCGATGTGACTAGCTGAGACGGCGGGCTGGTAGGTGGATGCAATGCCATCCCTGTTGTCACAAGCAGCACCATGCTTATGTGCTTTTGGCTGCATCGCTAGCCTGGGGAGGGGGTCTTTTTTATTAGAGTTTTAAAGGTTTTTTAATACAACTGAGTTAAAGGACCAGACCCTCCTTGGTAGTAAGACAGAGTTATTCCAAATATCCTAGGCAGTCCTTTCTCAGCTGCAAGTCTTGCTCAGAGCTGGGATACAAGGTGCTGTTGTAGAGAAGCTGAGAAATGTCCAGGCATATGGGAGAAAATAGACAGAACCTTCTTCATATTCACCTGTATGAAGCCAATAAAGTAACACCCTCAGCACTTGTGAAGTGCTAGATTGAAGTACTAGAGCCCTTCCAAGACCTTTCCTGGCAGGAAGACAAGTCTTCCTGGGGGAGTAGCACACGTGTGGGATGGGGGTGGGGGGACACAGTGACCAGCTGTACTGAAAGAGAGCAATGTATCTGGTTGGCAGGTGACAAAGAGACTTCATGATGGTGAGTCTACGCTCCAGGGTAATAGCATGCTCGAAGACCGGCCCACCTCCAACCTGGAGAAGCTCCATTTCATTATTGGTAATGGCATCCTCAGGCCAGCATTAAGGTTAGACACCAGGACAAAGGCTCTTTTCATACCTTGTTCATTAAACTATTCTTAACCAAATGTTTTTGCTAGCATGTGCAGCTGAACAAAGCTCACATTCTTCAAGGTGTGCTGCCTAGTATGGGTCAGGCTGTGTCAACTGTTAGTTTATATTTCAGGCTTGCTTGAGAGCCCCTGGAGGAAGGCTCAAAGATTTCTGAACATACTAGTACTGGGTTGATTTATTACCGTTTTTGTTCTTTGCTGCTTGTTGCTTTCCATTTGACCATTTAGATCTCTTTTTCTTGTGTAAATATTTTTAATGCATGAGGCTCTCAAGCCTATTACAGTTGTGATTTACAGGTAAATTACACATCCAAAAATTACCAAGTGCCAGATTAAGGCTGACTGCTCACCTTTGAGTTAGCTCATTCATAGGTGCATGTTACAATGCAATCTTATTTATGTGTTTTCATACACTTTCTTTCATGCCACTCTACTCATGCAAAGAGAACAGGCAGCCTCATCTGATGAGCAGCTTCTCTGCTTTCCATTTCATCCTCTCAGTTCACCATGATACCCTTAGCCTTGCTTTTTGGCAAGGTTAAAACCAAACTAAGGATAAAGCCAAAAGTGGGCATTAATTTCCAAAATTGAGATATCTGTGAATATTAGAGGATATTCCCTTGTAGGAAGCCAAGATAGACTCTTATCTTCCAAAGGTGACATTCAGCTGCTGAATTGCAAGACTATCTTTTCTCTTTCTCTCACTAAGTGCTGTTGACTAGCTGTGCAGATTCCCACCTGAAGCACAGGGAAAAGCATCACTTATTTGAAGCTGCAGGACTGATGATCAGTGGCATTTTAGACACAAACAGATGACCAGAGAAACCATGATCAAAATATCCGTGTTCCAAAAGGGATTTTTATTTATCACATTCAGATGGAGACAGACTTTATGTCCATTGACCACCCTGTGAACTCTAAATGCTTTCTGATTCTTGTTGCAGGGATGAAATCTATTGTCAAATCTGCAAGCAGCTGACCCAGAACCCTTCCAAAAGCAGCCATGCCAGGGGCTGGATCCTGATGTCCCTGTGTGTGGGATGTTTTGCTCCTTCTGAGAAGTTTGTGAAGGTAAATTGCAAAGGATGTTAATCTTGAAATTTAGCTGCTGATACATTGTATTTTCCATCCCTAAGATCACTCTTTCTCATGGGTTTCACAGTGAGGGAATCCTGTTTCTTGTGTCTTCTTTTTTGACAGGAATTGTAATAACATAAAGGTCTTAATCAGAAAGAGAAGTCCATATTAAGTAAATTAGACAACAAATTCAGATGACTCCATCTGAATTGTAGATATATGAAGATGACCAAAATGTGTTTAAGCAATCTCTACTAGAAAGCATGGTTGTAGGAAGTTACCAGTGGGTTATGCACATCCAGAGCGGCCTATAATATTCTCTTCCCCTGTCCCTTGGAAGACTACTTTCCATACAGATATAAAACTCTACATTAAAATGCAGCAACTGTTGCATTTGCCTGTATGATTTCAGGCAGATCTGTCATGAAATAGTACTACACAGTTGGTTTTAAGTGTAATTTAATATAAGAAATTGCACATAGAAAAGGAGACTTTTTTTAATTACCTTTCAGAGTTGCTTTCTCCAGGCTGGAACTTGACCTGCCGAGTGTTATATTGGCAATGTCAGCCCTTTAAATAGCCACATGGGAAATGACATATAATATGCCTTATCTTCAGAAGCACCGTGGACAACCAGGAGGACTAAAATCAGCAGAAGCTGCTAAGTGGTTGACACTCCTGAAAATCAGATTGTTGTTAAGGATTCTTTTTCCACTGGAGCAAAATCCCTTTTTTTTTTTTTTTGGCCTAGATTTGAACAACTGAATGAGTTACACATCTAGAGCCTAGATAGCACCCACAGGACTGCTCGAGTTAATCCCATTTGGTTGGCTCCTAGCAGCAGGCTCAGCACTGTGTCTTTGCTTTGCCGTGACATGACAGAACTTCCTTTGAATCTCTCAAATTTTTTTAAGACTTCCATCCGTGACATGACAGAACTTCCTTTGAATTTCTCAGATCTGCAAGTGCTCCCAAGCCCACTGAAGTTCAAGACTTTCCATTAATTTCTATACACACCAGATCAGATCATCTGGTCCTTAGAGAGCTGAAGCCAAGAATAGAAATTCTTTCTTCATCCCAGGGGCTGTCACTAGGAAATATAATAAGGCAGATAAATCACTGGCAAAGCAGCAGAAAATTAAATTATGACTGGAAATGAGATATGAGAAAGCATGTTACAGGAAATAGTGCAGATTTAAATCTTCAGTAGCAGAAGCTTATTTTAGGAAAGCATAGTATTTTTCGGAAATCATTTGTGAATTACTCTGAAGACCTGAACATGTACCTTTGCCCTAGGTTCTGAACAGTGCTGGAATATATGATAATATTCCAAAAGCCTCATATGAATTGTAGGCAGTAGGTAAGCGTTTTTACACGTTGGGACTGTGGGGTATTCACATCACCTAATTTCAGATACCCATCTTCTCTTTATAGTACCTGGAAAGAGATGGGCTACTCCGGAGGGCAGTTCTGAGAGCGTAAGCCAGGGTTTTCCCTAAATCTCCTTCCAAAACAATTTCCATGTCCCCATGGACAACTGTGGTGACAGCAACTTGAGTTTGAGTGTCCCTTGCAGCAAACCACATTGCAGTTATTTGGCAAAGTGCAGCTGCAGGCAGTGGCCTGGGTACCTGCAGAGCTCCTCCAAAATCACTATGGTTTTCCATAGGGATGTCATCAACAGCCACCAACGTGCAATGTCAATCAGAAAATTTTGGGATAAAACAAACTCCTAGGGAAACGTTAATCTGGCTTCCACCCGCTACATTCCCATACAAATTCTTTTTGTTCGTTTCATGAAATGCAGAGGAATATTCAAAGTCTGATGGATTTCAGCAAACTTCTGTTTTGAAGCTCCATATTCCAGGCCACCTAGTCCAGTCTATTCTGGGCAGTTCTAGGCCTCACTCTGCTATTCTTAATCTATCATTGTCATGTTTGCAGATGTTTGCAATCAGCTGACATCTGATTTACCCTCTGTTTACAAACTCTATCCACACATTAGCTACCCTTGGATGAAAGATAAATGCATGTAGATTGCCAGCCAATTAGCCAGCAGATATTTTGATAATAAAAGTCTTTTACCACTGTTGCCCGGACTGCTCATTTAGCAACAGCTGCCTGCCACTACTTTAACAGACAGAAAAGCACACAAGAAAATCAAAGGGTAAATATTTCTTAGCACTTCTGTCCTCTGCCCTTCCCCATGGTGAAAGCATACTGCGAATACTGTGTCAGATGTCTAATTATTTTCTGCATGAAACTATCAGGATTAAACTTTCGTAGCCAAAATGTTCCTGAAAAAGAAACTAGGGATTTCAAGGATCTTTTGTGTCTGAAAGTTATTCCACAACTTTGGAAAATGTCAGTTAGGCAGAAATAAACATTTTGAGAAAGGTTTAATTGATAGCAGGGAAGTCTTCAATATGTTTTCCATATGGCTGCTTCTCAACATAAAGGGCACACCTTGATTCCTATATATGCTAGAAAGCCCTAGTAAATCATATATTAAGCAGGGGTCAAGGTGCATTAGCACTCCAGTTCTTTGTACCTTGCTTCCAAATAACAATGGACCTTGCTGGGAAGGTTCAGTCGCAAAGGGAACTTAACTGGAGAAATCTGAAAAAATATGTAAGTACGTGATTCATTCATTAATTAAAGTACATTTTTACACAGCATTAATGTTTACTATCATTGGCATTGGCTGAAATGCACATAAAGAGCCTGTATTATGTGATCATTTATTATTACTGATTAGAATATCTCTACAAGTTATGATTGACAGAGATGTGTTATCATTCAGGGAGCTGTCTGTCTATCTATGGCACTTCCCTGAAAGATATTATTTACACAACTATTAGTCTTAGCTGCATTTTAGAGATATTTGACCGTGATATTTATGAAATATTTTTAAGTGTATCCATCATTTTCCAAAGTTGCTTAATTTTATATTTTTCTATAATAGTGTGGTTGTATTTTTAACATATGATGAAGTACTTCAAATTCTGGTTAAGGATCTTTTAAAATATACTTTTAAATAAAAAGAAACTCTTTAGGATAGCTGTAAAGTACGTTTTATACCGGTAGCTAAGTATTTGGAAAGTGTATTTGCTTACACTTCCCCTTGATCCTAGCTTGTTGGTCTTTTTCATCCACTCACATCTCTGTCGTATTCTCAAGAGCATTTTATATGGCTTATCTTTAAAACACAGATATTGAAATTAATGGCAATAATAAGAACATAAAGGCAACTGCTCTGGCTTCTATCAAAGATGTCTAGCCTGGTATCTTATCTCCACCAAGGCCAATAATGTATGGTATAAGAACAAGGCAAGTGTCCAGTCCATCTTCATCTCTGCTAGCCTCCGACAGTGTGAGCCTTGAGTTTATCACTGCCTTTAACAGTCACAGCATGGCTTTTCTTCAATAAATCACTGGGTTTTTTTCTTTGAATCCTTGGAAATGTTTGGTCTCTACTGCTGATGGTCTAATCGATTCATTTCTTATTGCAAACAGTATTTAAGGAACTTTATCAACGGAGGCCCCCCTGGTTATGCTCCCTATTGTGAAGAGAGGCTGCGGCGGACATTTGCCAATGGGACAAGGACACAACCACCCAGCTGGCTGGAACTGCAGGTAGGAGCCTCCATCCCCACTTCCAGCCTGGTGGGGTGCAGGGTTTGTGCCTTGCCCTATGACATGAACCCCTCATCATGTAGGACAGACAGCTGCATGACAAAATACATATTTATCTCAAAAGCTTTCGTTTATTTCTAAAATATTGCAGTCCTTATGCATCCAGGCCTTTCTCCAGAGCATTTTGAAGAGTCCTTAGGTTACATCAATATTTGTAAATTAAATATACTTAAGCATATCAGGCATTGAGGCCAGCTGGCACGGAGCAGGCCGTGCATATGCTAGGAAGCTTCTTTCCATATGAGACAGGCTGTGGTCAAAACACCTGCTGGGAATAGTCCCTGGAGTATTACAGCTGCCTGGGTCTTGTTCGGAGACAGTAGTCATTGGAGCAGGCCCAGTTTATGACATATTTGATAGTTTGCTAAGGCAATTTAGTAACATAGAGTTTTGTTTTGGTGCCCAGCAGCACTCCAGATGTGCTTGAGTTTACTAGGCTAGGCACTTTGATAACTGAATGCCTTATATATATATATATGTATATATATATACATATATATAGGACTTCCAATTGCTTTTTCTGGCCAACCATGCATTATCTCATTGAGGATTATGTTGTAGTAGTATTGAAATGCAGCCAGTCCACTGACTCGGGGTTTACCACTGTTGTGGGAGGGAGGAGTACATATATAAATAGTCTAGTTGGGCTTGAAATTCATATGCCTTTATAAAGCTTGACTTCAATCTATTAGGCAACCAAGTCCAAGAAGCCGATCATGTTGCCTGTCACTTTTATGGATGGGACAACAAAAACCTTGTTGACGGACTCTGCAACAACTGCTAAAGAGCTCTGTAATTCTCTGGCTGACAAAATCAGCCTGAAGGACAGATTTGGATTTTCGCTTTACATCGCGCTGTTTGACAAGGTATGTCCTGAATTGCAGTACTGACTATTCCTATAAAAGAAAAGGAGATTCTCCTTGCTGCCACACGTCTTCCAGAGGGATGAACAACCCTACACTCTGAGCAAATATGAGCCTCAAGGTCAGGAGGAAACATTTCTATAGTGCAGATGCTGGTATGGTTTTCACAGTGGGAGTAGCTGAATATTGGAACAGGGAGCCAGAGAGACTGTGAGATCTCCAACCTTGGATATGTTCAGGACTCAACAAGACAAGGCACTGAGCAACCTGAAATGGAGCTTTGAGCAGGGATTTGGACCAGACACTTCCATATGTCTCTTCCAATCTACTTGATTCCTTGATTCTATACTGTTATACCAGGAAAAATTATTTGAATTGAATATCCAATAAAAAAGCAATCTGGATTTTTATGCATGGGAGCAACTACATTTAATGTGCATAGGAAAAATGGTGGTTGAAATTTAATTGTTAAAATGAGCTAAACCCCATGCCTTCATTGCAATTCATCCCAAGCTATTTAAAGTAAAAACATATATTTCTTCAGAAATTCCATAAAAATAAAGATGCATGCGATTGAGAAGGGAAAACAGATCTAGGGTGAAACTTCATCAGATGAGACAATATTTGAAACTCAGTGAAGCAGAATTATTCCTATAGCTGCTATGTAAGAGGGCAGAGTATGTTCTCTGCTCCAGAAGTGTCCACCTCTGGAGAATGAAGTGCTTTATTCTCTGTTCTTCTTGGGCTCTTTTGAGGAATATGCGGCCATTCTTTTGGGAAGTTCACTCATAGATGGCAGAGTCCCTGTGCCAAGCTACAGGCACAAGAGAGAGATGATAAACAAGGGCTAGCTTTCTCTTCTGGGTTTATTTAATGCTTAGTATGGCTGAATACAAGTCTGTAACTTTTAAATAGGGTATTTCAAAGCACTGTATGAATAAACAGCAATTTATAGTTGGACCTTTGGCTTTGATAATTCAAATAATTTTCTTCTTTTGTTCTGACCTGGGAAAAAAGGTCTCAGAATAGAATGTCTGTAGGTGCTCTACAGTGGCATTTCTCTAACTAACTCAACTATGTTGGCTGGTTGGTGGGAGACACTTTGATTTTGGGGGCTTATAAAGGAAATTTAGATGAGTGTCTCAGATGCAGATAGCTCTATCTAGAGATGTAAAGATTTAGCCACACAAATCCCCTCTTTTTCCATCTGTCCTGACTAGGTCTCTTCACTGGGAAGCGGCAATGACCACGTGATGGATGCGGTGTCTCAGTGTGAGCAATATGCCAAAGAGCAGGGAGCACAGGAGCGCAATGCGCCTTGGCGGCTCTTCTTCAGGAAGGAGATCTTCACTCCTTGGCACAACCCCAATGAGGACAATGTGGCCACGAATCTCATTTACCAACAGATCGTCCGGGGTGTGAAATTCGGGGAGTATCGGTGTGACAAGGTAACTGCCCCTAAAGTTTACAGCCCTTTGCTGGGCAGCGCTGAAATTCTCCAGTGGGAACGTGTCATTATCCTACCTGAGATAGATAGGCCTTACAACAAATGATGTTCTTGCTTTACCAACAGCCAAAGCTCAACCTCTCAGAAATTTGAAGTCACCTTCCACCGAATGAATGAGCCAACATTTCCCTACTCCCAAGCAAATGCCCAACTGGTCTGATCCAATGTATAACTCCTGCGTGATGAAACAGGTTTCTCCAAAACCTATTTCATCCAAACCTTCCTTACTGAATATCCACCTGGGAAGCGAGAAATACAGGGTCAAATTCTCTTGACTGCAGAGACATCTGAGCTGCTTGAACACTCCCCCCTGTTGAATTTTGGATGGGAGAGACAGTGATCACCTTCATCTGTTAGCCTCAGTTTGGTGTCAACAGGCCTCCTGTAATCAGATCATCAGTCAGGAGTATGCAGGGCGCTGTTTTGAGCCAAGGTTTAGACATGAGCAGTGTTTTTCAGGACGGTGAGATTTACAACATGCAATGCAATTCCAGTAATACAGCCATAAGAGGAGGGTACATTAGGATTAGAAATGTAAGCCCCTAAAGTCTTTAAGAACTTGCAGAATTATGCCACTGTCACTGCAGTGAGCACCTGGACTTGCTGGACTTCTAAAGTATTAGAACTGATGGATGCACACAGTGGATAAAGATGCGGTGTCATGGCCCGTGTAAGGTGTTACCTGCATGCAGGATGTGCGGCTGTTTAACTGCTACTGGAAGAGCCCAGGGGAAGTATTAAGGCCTTTTAATGGACATTTGTGACAGAGGGAGAGTGAATAATCTTTCCTACTAATCACTGAATAGCTGTTCATAGCAGCAATGCTATGTGTACTATCACATTGGATAGTACAGGAGCATTAGACTTACCTAAAACACCAGTGAATTTCTACTGAAAAGTTTCCACCCCTATCTGAACCAGCAGTATATCCTTCCTTTGCAAAGGAGTCCCTGAGCTATGTGGTACGGAGGTTGGGTTTGAATGGTTTGGTGACTGTGTTATGTTGGCTTGTTTGGCTCCCACAGGAAGAAGATCTGGCAGAACTGGCCTCCCAGCAGTACTATGTGGACTATGGGTCAGAGATGGTGCTGGAAAGGCTGCTAAATCTAATTCCATCCTACATCCCAGACAGGGAGATCACAGCTTCAAAAACAGTGGAGAAATGGGCTCAGCTCATTATAGCTGCACATAAAAAGGTGGGGATATAGATCATCATCATATGTCAGTCTCCAAAGCTCAGTTCTTGGCCTTGCTTGAAGCTAAAATAAAGGGAAAGGGCAGATTCTGCACTAGCCATGTTCAGCATTACCACTGGTTTTGAGGAGAGATCTGACAGATGAAGACAACCTGCAGAGATTCAATTGCTTAAACATGGATGCTTCAGGTATCCTCACTCCAGAAACACCTGGATCTTGCAGGGCCTCCATCAGGCCTGCCAACTGTATGCAGAAATCCCAGATATCCAAGGATGTCCTAAATGAAGTAAAATGCCTGCGACTGATGGTTAGATAGGACTATCAAGTTGAGAGACTTCACTAACATTAGCAGAATCTAAAGTTAGTTGGGATGAATCCCACCCAAATTGTTCATTTTAGGTCCTTGCACAGCCTTCTCAGAGTGGAATTACTTCCTTCTGGGAGGCAGTATTTTTCCAAGAGTTCATCCACTGTGACATCCCAACACCACCAGATGACATGAATTAACTACATTTCAATGCATTGTTTTTCATTCGTTATTCTCCTGGCTGTAACTGGATTTCTGCTCCACAAAGTTTTGTTTTGCTTTATCTGTAGGGAATTTACACTCAGAAGAGGACAGACCCCAAAAAAGTCAAGGAAGAGGTGGTGGATTTTGCACGTTTCAAGTGGCCTTTACTGTTTTCTAGATTTTATGAAGCCTTCAAATTCTCAGGTGAGTCAGTGGGACGCATACCTGTAGCACAGGCAGCAACAAAGGAAGGAGAGTTAGAAACTTACCACATGGAAAGATTTCATGGTTCTTCTGACTGTTTTTTTTTTTCAGATGCCTTATTTCTTTGTGCATCCCAATTAGAAATGGCTCAAGCTATGAATCTGGCACTATTTTTCTCCTAAAGATGGCACTGATTTTTTTTTTTTTTAGCCATTACATCCTTGTTGGGGCGGGAAATTTGTTAAGAGATGAATCCCCTTGCGTTCCAGACGATCCTCAAAGGTTAGAGGGACTGGGGGCAGCTGGACTCATCTCTTAATAGGGATACCAAATACTGTGTTAGCTATATGCTCAACACTAGCAGTATCGGATTCACCAACAGTCTGCTGACCATCAGCCCGATCACCTTCCTAGGAGTGAATCGAGTTCGTGAATAATGTGATCAGCTATAGGTCCGACCCTGGCAATATCAGGTTCACGAACAGCCTGTCGGCTGTAGGTCCGATTGCCTTCAAAACAAATAGTCGAGTTCATAAATAGCACAATTTGTCCAAATGCAATATTTAGAAAACAGGTTATGGATGTCAGTACAGGAAATTCGCTACTACAGTGTGGGATTCTTAGCTAATGCCTAGTGTACAAATGCGCAATTGTTACTCACCCAAAAGATGGGAGAGGGCTCTCAATCTTGAGGAGTCTCCTCAGGCAGTGTCCTGACCCGACAGGAAGAAAGGAGTTCATCCTGCTGACTGATCCAGAAGTTACAATGAAGTCTTCCATCTCTCCTCTTCCTTCTTTCCCCATTCCTTCTTCTCCAGTTTTTACCACCTTATTCTTCCTCTTCCTACTATATCCCTCCTTAGTTCACCTTTTATATATTTTCTTTTACAATTAGGTGGAGCTTAAGTGACTCTAGTAATACTTACTTTCATTATTCATTGGTTTAAAAAAGTCTCCTGAGTTAATTGAAAATCTAGAGAGCATGCTCAATGGGGAGTAATCGTTCCTTGGAAGCCGGTAACTTCTGGGATGGTGTTGTGTATTGGTATTATAATGACATTAGAATGAGGAGAAGTTTGAGCAAAGTCCATTGGAAGGGACTGATCTGCCACCATTGTTGGCCCAGCACCAGACATCTTACCGTACTACTTGTGGCTTATCAGCTGCATGGTACAACCAGGTTGCCAGCTCTGCAGGGAGTGCAACGGAGTTTGGCCACAGTGCCTTCACTCCGCTCCACCCTCCATTCGCTCGTTGTCTGCACGGCACCATCAGATTACCACCTCCTCATGGAAGCCAACAAAGTTTGGCCATGGTATCTCTGTTCTGCTCCACTCTTCGTTTACTCTTATTAGTGTGTGCTAGGAGGGCAGATTGTGTTGCCAAGGGAATCATGGAGAAGTAGATTCCACACATACCGACCATCCTGGAAGTGGTAACTGTCTCTCACCTCAAGCAAGCCTCTGTAATGCCATAATCATAATGCCTAGTTTTTCTCTAATTTCCCCTTTCTCGGGCAATTCTCTCACAATTCTCATTTGATAGGCACACATTTTCCGCATCTTAAGACCCTTCAGGTGCTGACTGTATGTCTTGTCTTTGTCCTAGGGCCGAGCCTGCCTAAAAATGATGTGATTGTAGCGGTCAACTGGACAGGGGTGTACTTTGTGGATGAACAGGAGCAGGTTCTCTTAGAGCTGTCTTTCCCAGAGATCACAGCTGTGTCAAGCAGTAGGTGAGGAGGAACAAGCTTAGCTGGTGATTTCACCCTAATCCAGTCATTTTTCAGACTTTGTCTCTCGCTCTGTTGATGCTGTTATCTTTCTTCTTTGTGTTTCCTATGAAAATGTACCCTAGAGGGGGAAAGCTGCAAGGGCAGAGTTTCACCTTGGCCACCATTAAAGGTGATGAATACACTTTCACCTCCAACAACGCAGAGGATATCCGAGACCTAGTGGTGACCTTCCTAGAAGGACTAAGGAAAAGATCCAAGTATGTGGTCACTCTCCAAGACAACCCAAACCCTGGTAAGTGGTCCGGCCCAGTGGTAAACAGATAGACCAAATAACTACTCCAAAAGGAATTGGGAAGGGGGAAAAAAAAAAAGGAAGGAAAAAAAAAAAAGGAAGAAGAAATTAATGGTTGTCTTTCCTGTAGTGGGAGAAGAATCTGGCTTCCTCAGCTTCCTCAAAGGAGACCTCATAGTTCTGGACCAAGATACAGGAGAACATGTGATGAACTCAGGCTGGGCTAATGGGTTCAATGAACGGACCAAGCAGAGAGGGGATTTCCCAACAGATTCTGTTTACGTCCTGCCTACAGTCACTATGCCTCCCCTGGAGATTGTGGTAAGCTGTCTTATGGGATGACGCAACTCTATACGATGCAAAGCCTAAGGATGTCAAAAGCCCTCCCAAGGAGCTTGGATTAATCTTATTTACTCCACACCAATCTTTTCATTTTGCATCTGCTTCCTCTCTCTAGATAGGTCACGATCTGTTTATCGCAAATACATCTGGTAACAGAGACCCGTTTGTCCCACAGGCACTGGTCACCATGACCCCCGACCAACGACAAGATGTTATCAGAACGTCCCAGCTGGCAATTTCAGACAGTGAAGAGAGAGTGAAACCATATACCTTGGAGGAATTTTCCTATGATTATTTTAGGTGATATTTTTATCCACCTTCAAAAAGTGTAGGAGGTAGCAGTGCATCTCCTGATAGTTTGGAATCAGGGACATAATTTTGTGGTTACTGGAAAACACTTTAAATATCCCATTGAATGATTTTGTACCTCTGCAGCTTCCACACTGCCATGTGGCATTTTAGCTGTATATTTTCCTTAGATGAGATTTTTTGAAGGATTTCCTCAGACTGGCTCAGAGTAGGTGTAGTGGTGTGAAATTTGGTAGTGTGATATTAACAGTCTGATATCCCTGTCCTACAATCCCATCCATAACACCAGACTGTATATACGGCAAGTGAATTAGGTGGGGAAGTTCTGAAATCAACTCTGAAGAGTTAAACGTACACCACTGCTGAATAAGTCTTACCAAAATTCCCACTCCTGGTCAGGTGAGCTGTTAGTCTGACGAGGAAGACCAAATCCTGTGGGAATACTTCCCCCAGTTGGATTGTTCTGGTGGGAAATACGCTTTCACTCTTGCTGCCTATCTCTCTGACCATCCATCTCCATTATCCCTCCTCTTGTGTTTGGAAATTTGGGGTGGGAAAGAGAAAGTTGTTTCTGCGCCTGTACTTAGGTAGAGTCCATAAGGGATATCTCTGAGCTCTGAGAAAATACTAATGGATGTCTTTGGGCAGAATCAGATCTGGAAATATGCTAAACTTTAAATGGCTGTTAAGTGCATCAGTTCATTAGCCAAGTGCTGTAAGCAGCCCTCACAAGTGAGGCTCTGGCCACATCCATTTCCTGTTATCCCTGTAACCACCTTTCCTTTTGGTTTGCCTTTGTCATCAGGCCACCTCCCAAGCACACCCTGAGCCGGGTCATGATTACCAAGAGCCGTGGGAAGGACAAGCTGTGGTGTTACACCCGTGAGCCTATCAAACAGCCATTGCTGAAGAAGATCCTGGGCAGTGAGGAGCTGTCCCAAGAAGCCTGTATGGCCTTCATTGATATCCTTCCACTGCCTGGGGAAGCTCTGGGGCATTAGCTGTGGTAGATGAAAGGCTGAAGCTGTTTAGGGCCAGGAGTGAAGCTCTTCAAAGCCTTGTGTTCCCTCAAATGGGTTTTGATCCAGATTTGATGATGCTCAACTCAGGAATCCCTGGGATTCAAGGGGTTCTATACAGCTTGATAATCAAGGGCGGGAGAGCAAGTTATTGATTCCTGATGGTCAACACTGCTTAGTGGTTAACTCACTAGCTCTGCTCTGATCTGCTTCAACCACTTCTCTCCTCATTCATCTCCAATTCATCTTTATAAAGGGGTGCAAATACTCTCTTTATTGAAGATGTAACACAGTCTGTGTGGCCTTGGGGACAGGGTTTGATAGCTGAATCTCCCTGTATGACAAAAAAAAAAAAATGTAGTATGAGAGAGACTAGTTGAATGCAAACACAGATTCAGCTTGTAGAAGTAACCTTTATTTTTTTGGTGATACTTGACTGTAGGCTCTAGAGTTTAAATAATTCTGCTATTATAAGCCTACTACTGATGCTATCATTGTTGCTGCTTCTACTGATTTTCTCCTGATAGCAGATAGTGATAGGAGAAGCAATTAAAAAGACTGACCAAAAAAAAAAAAAAAGGATTTTGCAATTTTTTCTGCCTCTTTCTCTGTTACAACATTTTGCTTCAGAAAATTGTGGCCTCTTGTTAAGAAGAACAGTTACAATAAACATGGTGGTGAAGGCCCTCATTTGGTTTGGTTTAAGGTACTGCAGCTCCACTCAGAGGTGTCTTCAGGCCTCTGCCCAATGACACCAAGTGTAAATCCAGCCCTTTGCAGAGGCAGCTCCATATGTGATTGGATAATTTAGTAATGACGGAGATTTCCTAGGCCTATATATCCCAACCCCAAAGCAATTCTTTCTGATCTGAGACGGTTAGATGGTGTGTCATAAAAGGAGAGAGCTCAGTGGAACTTTCCTGAAAGAATTTAAAGCCTTTACCATATACTGTGCCCCCTCCACCAAAATAAAGCTGCTTCTGTAGTCATGTGTAGGAACTCTTTAATCACATTGCCAACAGCAGGGTTTCTCCAGACCTCCCAATTAGCCGATCCTTGACTCCTTTCTCCCACCTGTGCTGAAGTATATGGGTGACTACCCATCCAAAAGGACTCGCTCAGTCAACGAGCTGACAGACCAAATATTTGAAGGTGCCTTGAAAGCTGAGCCCCTGAAGGATGAAATCTACTGCCAGACCCTAAAGCAGCTCACAGACAACCACATCAAGTAAGAGTCAGCAGCCTTTGCTGGGTAAAGCAGTCCTGGACATGAGATACTGAGGAGCAGGGACACACTGTTGTCTTCCATATAGTTTCCTCAGCATTTCCTCCCATTTTCCACCTCCTCTGAGCCCACAGTTGGTACCTCCTGCCAGTCAGTGTCTCCTTTCTCAGCACTAATGTCACACCAAAGCACAGAGCCCTGTCCCTGCAGTGAATGATAATTTTTCCTCCTGGGGGGTGTCTTCTCATTTAGGTACAGTGAAGAGAAAGGCTGGGAGCTCTTGTGGTTGTGTACAGGCCTTTTCCCTCCAAGCAACATTCTCCTGCCCCATGTCCAGAGGTTTCTGCAGTCCCGAAAGCATCACCCTTTGGCAGCAGACTGTATCCAGAGACTCCAGAAAGCACTGAGGTACGACACAAAAAGTCCTACGTGGTCCTGCCCATGTCACAGCTTCCACACATGTATGTAGGAGATGTTTCAACATCTCTCTGCATTCGACCAAGATGAAAAAAAGGGAGGTGAGGTGGTGGACATTGGCTGATCTGTGGCATTTGTCACCTCTTGTTTTGCAGGAATGGATCCAGGAAGTACCCACCCCATCTTGTAGAAGTGGAAGCAATTCAGCACAAAACCACCCAAATTTTCCACAAAGTTTACTTCCCTGATGACACCGATGAGGTAAAAGGAGGAGAAGGAATTTTTTATTCCTGTCAAGATCAGACAGTGTTCTTACTAGAAACACAAAACACACCCATATTGGCTCTGATTCAGAAGAAAACTCCATCTGGGTAACGTAATGGAGCTCGCCAGCAGCAGGGCAGGGACTGTCTCCGGCAGCACCTGTGAGTAGGTAGCTGGAATCACTCCTCCTGCCCTGGGATAACACACAAATCCTGATATTTGCACTCAGACACCTCTCATTAAGTGGCTTAAACACCAAAAAGGCAGCTGGTTATATTGATGCCAGAGCAGGTATGCATGTCCTTGCAGATATCACTATCTAATGCGGTTTAACCTCCCAGTGAGACATTCATTTTTCTCTTCCCTCTTGCCTATGGGCACCTCTAGTATTTCCAAGTGGGTGTATGCACAAAGCTGTACACGTCTATGAGGGAAAAGGGGCAATTCCTCTCCTGACCAGCATCTCATGCCCTTCTTCATCTGTAGTGGAGAAATGAGATATCTGCTGGGATTTCTCATCACTTTGGATTTTTTTTTCTATGGGACCAGCAATAAGCATTACACTGCTTTACACATGCACATCTGCATGAAAGAGCCAAAAAGAGGTGATATAAATGCAGAGCACAGAATGCAAAACAGGAGGTGGCTCCTGCATGCAGTATCACTAATTGCATTGGAGATGGGTGGCTAAGTCACTTAGCACATCTGAGACTTGATATTTTCAAAGAGAGGACATAGTGGAAATTAATCTTGAGTAGCAGAGGTGAGGCTCTTCCTTTCTTTGTAGGCATTCGAGGTGGAGTCCAGCACAAAAGCCAAGGATTTCTGCCAGAACATCTCCAACAGGCTGCTCCTAAAGTCCTCTGAGGGTTTCAGCCTCTTCGTCAAAATCTCTGACAAGGTGAGTGACTCACACAGAGGTGGAGGTGGCCCAGAGGCACCTGGTGCTGCATTTGGCATTTCTGGTGATGCAGTTCCCAGAGGGTGTGCGGTGGTGGATCCAGGCCTCCCCTGCTCGGTCATGGGTGAGAAACATTTCTCAGCAAGCACAGTGGTCCTTGTAAGTCAGATCCAACCTGCTACACTCTGGTTTTGCAGTCCCAGAACCATGGATTACAGTAATCATCTAAAAGGTCTTAAACAGGAGCATGGGTCATCCTAGTCAGTCACAGGTAGATCTGTTACCTGATATTACTGACTGTCATCTTACAGCAGGCCAGGAATGACAAGAGGTGCCAGGAATAGCAGGTAAAGTTCCCTTAGCTTCAGAGTGGATGGTGTTAGCACCTGACCCTGGCACTTGAGACCGTGCTGATCTAGGGATCCAACAAGCACCTCCCTGTATGCAGGATCTCACACAGTAATTGCAACCCATTTCATTCCTGGAGCGACCCTGAGTGATGCAAGAGACAGTTGTTTACAAAGCACTCACTATATAATGTATCAGTTGAATGTTAAGGACATTTTCTATAAGGTCCTTAAGAGAGCACAGGGGAAATGCCAGATGTAGCGGCCAAGTCTTCTTGGCCCCATCAGGTGGTTGTCCCTGTGATGTTGCATTGATTCTGGGAGAAGGACATAGGGACCATCAGGAAAAAGAGGTAAAAAAGACAGGTTGTTGCCTGAGATGGGTTTGTAAAGATGAGCTAAGTACAAAAAACATGTATACTTATTGTTGCCTAGAGTAACTAGAAGAAAACAATAAAGACAGTCATCATGAAGGGAAAATAATCACTCTGGTGAAACAAGAAGCTGTGATCAGGAATAATGGATGAAATTAGAGACAGGACCTGTAGGAAGAGTGAGGTGTTGATGGTGACTTTCTCACATTGGCCATTTTTAACACATCATCCTAATGGGCACAAAGCAGTGAGCGATACCAACCAAAGACAGGGCCAGCCCTGCCTAAGGCTCTCACTGCATGATCAGCATTTGCAAATATGTGCTGTGCCCTCCAGGTCATCAGCGTGCCCGAGGGAGATTTCTTCTTCGACTTTGTCAGACACTTGACAGACTGGATAAAGAAAGCAAGACCGGCAAAAGATGGTAACGGTGAATTTTCTTGTCTGTGGGTCACACATAGTCATGCCTTGGTTCCCCTAAGAGCCCCCCAACCCTTCCAAACAAGGTCGGCAGCCTCACTGCACAACACTGCCGAGGTTGTGTTGTCCATGGAGACATCACGAGGGAGATGATCTGCCCAGGGGCTCTGCTACCAAATGAAGCTAGACATATTCCACTTTATGAAAGCTTTGCAAGGGAAAAGCAGACTTTTCTCTTCAAGGTGCACTAGGGCCTTGGGGCCTTGCTGGCAGCTTTACCAGCGCCCCGTCCTCCCCGTGTAGCTGCTCACCGGTTCCTTTGCACAGGTATAGTGCCTTCTCTCACCTACCAAGTGTTCTTCATGAAGAAGCTGTGGACCAACACGACGCCTGGAAAGGACTCCATGGCAGATTCAATCTTCCACTATTACCAGGTAATTTAGGTAATTTACAAGCCTTCAATATCAGTGAAGACTTGGGAGGAACTAGAAATGGAGTAGAAATACTTCCTCCATCTTCAAACATGCCTTAAATAGGGCACTGCCAAGTGTTGGCATGCGTGGCAAAGAGCAGCCATCATGCTTTTTGGGAACAACCAGCTCAGCTAGGGTTTGGGCCAGATATTCTTGGGCAACGAGCAAGAAGGAGAGAGTGTATCCTGCTGGCAGCCTCTGCAGAACGTCTGAATTCAGAAGCATCCTGCAAGTTTTCAGCTTCTCCATTCTTGGATGCTCTGATCAGTCCCAATGGACTGCCAGCAGTCAGGCAAGAAGTTGAAGTGCTTCTGCCCTTGTTACTTCTGGAGTGAAAGAGACACCTTCATGTCTGAAAACTCACTCTCACACAAACATTCATACTCCCGGTTGAGTTTTCATCTGGAAAAAAACATCATCCCAATGTGACTGTACCTCCTAATGCTTTGCTAGTCACTTTTCCAGCATAATGGCAGTATGTAGTAATGGGAGAATATATTTAAAATCCCACAAAACATACAGAAAAGGCAATATGATTCCAAGTGGCCATTACTATGCATGGATTTTCTGACAACAAAAACAAAAGGTATCTGAGACTGTAGGTTCACTCCGTCTTAGTAGTTCTGCCAAGCACAGGAAGTTCTGCCTGTGATGTGAGAGACTGTTTTAGATCAGGGAAAACTTTGAACATCTAGTCTGGTCTCAGCTGGGCAACCACTTGTCCACCAAATTCATCCAAAATGCTAAGAGGCTAGAGACCTCCACAAACTGCATTTAACACCCAAAACCTTTCCCTCCTTCCATACAGATTTTCCCTGAGATGGAGGGATGGGGGCAGCCACAGAGACCCTGTGTGCAGGGTGAAGGTGTATGTTGCACAACAGGATACAGAAGGGAAATAATACAGTTTGGGAAGCAGATGCAAGTGTTGGCACAAACTGATGCTTCCCTTCAACACCTCTGGGGAGGTGGGGATGCCTCTGGGGATGAGGGTCCGTGGTTATCCCCCTCTACCTGTCCATGGCTCTCTCGCCCATGCAGGAGTTACCAAAGTACCTGCGTGGCTACCACAAGTGCACACGGGAGGAGGTCCTGCAGCTGGCGGCTCTCATCTACCGGGTGAAGTTTGAGGATGACAAGTCTTATTTCCCCAGCATCCCCAAACTCCTGAAGGAGCTGGTGCCCCAAGACCTCATCCGGCAGCTCTCTCCAGATGACTGGAAAAGGGTAAACAGCAGCTGTAGGCCACGGGCCAAGCCCATCTAGGGGAAAGCCCAGCATCTCAGATGACTTGTCTCACACCCGACTTTGAGATGTCACTATGAGTGACTGGCATTCCCTCTTAAGCCTTAGCAGAGCCACAACCGCCTCAGGACCATGGGAGGAGGAACCTGTGCGTGCTGTCATAGTGTTGTGGGCTATGCTTGTGCAACACCTTGATGCGATTGTTGCTGTAGTGCTGCCTGCAGCACCATATGGACACATGCTACTTTGCGGACCACAGAATGGAGAGATTTTTCTCCCCACTTTACACAGGGAGACCTGGAGAACAGGGAAAAATGGTTCTAGGGCCATAGAAGGATGTAGCTGTCTATCTGTCAAAAAAATAGTCTTGTAATTCCTTTCTGTGTGCTGGATCTTGAGTAATCAGCAAACTATTGGCTTCTCTGGACTGATGGTTTCTTAGTCCCTTCTGCTGCTTAAATCAGAATATTGAACCTTATAAGCATTATAACTTACTAGCCACCTCATCTAGGAGAGGTGATTCATTTCTGTGGTGTATTCTTTGGAGAGACTATAAACTGCTTCTCTCCTCCTTGACAGATATTGAACCTTATAAGCATTATAACTTGCTAGCCCACCTCATCTAGGAGAGGTGGTTCATTTATGTGGTGTATTCTTTGGAGCAGAGACTATAAACTACATCTCTCCTCCTTGACAACTTCTACTCCAGCCACCAACTCCCATCTTGGCCCAAGCCAGCCACCCAGCCACTCAGCAGGCCCAGATACCCACTCTGAGGCTGAATATTCCCTAAACCATGCTAAAGGTGGCTGTCCCCAGGGCTCAGGACTTTGGGCTAAGCAGAAGAGAACTGATTCCCAGACACACAGAAAGGACTTGCAGAACTTTATCACCAGATTTATTCCTTCTCAAAGGACTTGCAGAACTTTATCACCAGAACTTTATCAACAGATACTTTTGTTGATGCTCCCCTAGCACTGGTAGACAGATAAACACCTGATGTGTTTCTGCAGTTTATTAATGGACATCCAGGGAAAGGATGGGATTTCTTGTTAAACAGCCAAATTACTATGAAGTACTTATGGTTTCTGGTGGGATAAACCATCTTTTGACCTTCTTTCCTTGCAAGAATCATCTGTCATACATTGTGCAATCCCTCCAGCTCAGCTGTCTTCTCTCTTGCAGTCCATCGTGGCATACTACAACAAGCATGCGGGCAAAACAAGAGAAGAAGCCAAGCTTGCCTTCCTAAAGATTATCTTCAAGTGGCCTACATTTGGATCAGCATTCTTTGAAGTGAAGGTACCTGCCTTATTTGGGGCTTCCCTGGCAGCTTTGAGCCAAGATCAGAGGCCACATATCATGGAGAGGCTGCAGGGGTATAGGGTTTTCCTGGGCCAGTCTAGGAGTCATCCTGGTGAAGAAGGGGAAGTGTGTGAGATCATTCCTCAGTAAAGGACCAAGACACCTGTTTACTGCCATCCTTCCTCTTCGTGCAGACTGAGGCATGTAGAGCATCAGTATATCTCAGTTATGATGGATCTGTCCTTACAGCATGTTCTGTTTTGCTGAGGCATAGGGAAAAGATGCTTTTCCAAGGAACAGCTCTGCACACACCAAGAGCCAAACCCAGACCAGCCACCTCATCAAACTCCCAACAAAGGCAATGGGAGCCAGTAATCATGAAGTGAGATATCTTGGGCACCTCATTGCAATGCATGAAAACATCTTGCTCCAGTTGCTGATCAGTTCCTTGAATTTATGCTCCCCATTTTCTGTCCATGCCCACCTTAGATGGCATATGGGATTTGAACATAGACTGTGATATTTTTTCAGCAAAAGAGCTAAGAAATCTGTGTCAGGATCAGGAACTGAGTCCCTGTCCCATGGCCCTGGGTCATCAGTCAGACAAATTGGAAAACCTGCTATGCTGACACAGGGCTGGGAGAAGGGATTACCAATGCTAACAAAACAGAATACAAAGATCAGCAGAGCAAAAAGCAGTGTACATTTGATCTGGAGATCCCTTCCTTGACAAGGGCAGGATGGCTCCTCATTGAGGAGACCACTGAGGCGAGCAAGGAACTTAATGCTGCCAATAACTCACCCCCTGGTTATTGTGCATGTAAGGCAGTCGTGAATATTGCTGATCTCTTAAAGGGCTCTATGCTTGTCTTTAAAAGAAAAAGCAAATACAGTTAATGGGCCACCAGATGTTGGCAGGAGAAAACAGTGAGGAAGTAGGAAGAAGTCTGATTTTGCATGCTGCTTCTCATAATTGCTTCATCTCATTTACCACAGCAAACTACAGAGCCAAATTATCCAGAAATCCTTCTAATTGCCATCAACAAGCATGGAGTCAGCCTCATTGACCCCAAAACCAAGGTAAGCAGGACTGAAGTCTTCACTAGATGCTCCCCAGCCATCTCCACCATCTCTTAGAATCAGAGAAAAGACCTTAGAGATCATCGAGTGCAACTGTTAGCTCTTCAACACCATACCTGTTAAACCATGTCCCTACGTGCCTCATCTACACATTTCTTAAACTCTGCCAGGGGTGGTAACTCCGTCTCTTTCAGAGGTTATCCCATAGAGTGCGTTGTTCAGAGCAACGGACTGTCTCATTAAGCCTAGATACAAAGGTTGGATAGACAGAAGGGTTTCCAGAGGCAGAGGTTCATTATCTTACAGAGCCATCGCAGCTCTTTTTAACATAAGGGTTGGGAGAACCAGCTGTTAGGGCCTTTAAGGTGGAGAATACACACAATCCTCAATTAGGACTGGAGCTAGAGTAAATGAGTTTCTACTTAGTACTTCTGTCAGCCACATGGTCCTTCTAGTACAACTACACTCTACAGGTGCTGGATGGTCTCATATCTCTCTCTGTCAATCTCATGAGGCAGCAGTACAGTCCATCTCAGCAGACATCCTTGCTCTGCTTTGATGGAAAACGTACATGGACGTGAGGAAGCCCCAGAGGCCCTCATGAAAGCTGAAACTCTTGTGTGTTGAGTGTCAGTGTTTTGTTCCCTCCAGGATATCCTCATCACTCACCCCTTCACAAAGATTTCCAACTGGAGCAGTGGCAACACGTACTTCCATATAACTATCGGCAACCTGGTGAGGGGAAGCAAGCTGCTCTGTGAGACGTCCCTGGTAAGGAGCAGTCAAGATTATTGTGCACAGTCACACACTGTTGCAGGTAGTTTGAACTGCAACAACACACACTGGAGAGGACAGGCAGAGGACCACAGAGCGGATTTTCTGCACTATGCACGTTAGAACAGCACTCCCCAGTTAGAACAAGTCTTGACATTAGCAGGCCAAAATGTCTAGGGAAGAGCATAATTATTTAACAAGTCTTGACATTAGCAGGCCAAAAATACATGTCTAGGGAAGAGCATAATTATTACAGTATATAATGACACTTCATCTTTATAATCTCTCTGCTTTCAGCAAACTTTGTCTCAATTTCCTGGGGTAAAGGGTTCTCTTAGAGTAAGCCTGGAAGTTTTATTTCTTCTGGGTTTCAGCACTGTGCTGTTATTTTCTCTAGAACTTCTTTTCCTAGAGGGTGGGTCAAACTTGTGTCAAAACTGGAAGAAGTTTGTAGGAAGTCAGCCTGCTTCTAGGCAGGCTGCTTTTAAAGGGAAATTAAAAATTGCCATGAGACAAAAGAGCTGAGAATGCCTTGGGGCTATCACGTCGGACAATCCGATGTTCAATGATATCCAAAGAGGGGAGGATGTGTTGAATACATAAGACCTCACCTCTCCTTCCTGTTCATGTCTGCAGTGCTTTACCACAGCAGAGTGCTCATTGCAGGCCAAAGAGGGGAGGATGTGTTGAATACAGAAGACCTCACCTCTCCTTCCTGTTCACATCTGCAGTGCTCATTGCAGACTGCCCTGTGGCTCTCTCCAGGGCAGTAGCACTGGACTAACCTGGTACATACACATTATGACTCTGTTTAGCTGATGAGGGCTCTGAATGGGTCCTTCATCCAACTCAAGAGTGAGTCTGAAGTCCTTAGGGTGTTGCCATCTCAGGAGCAAGGGGCACTGTTCACTCTTCTGGAATGGAAAGCATATTAAAGCAGACATGGGGTCAGGAGAGCTCTTAAGTCCTTTTACCAAGCTCCTCTGCCCAGCCCGACCTTAGCATCAGTCAAAGGAGTGAAGTCCACCTTGGTCATCAGTCTGTGTCCTACAGCAGATGAAACTCTGTCAGCCAATGTCTTATCCTCAGCACCCTGTCTGCCATCCCACCTTACCTCTCTTGTTTAGACTGCCTTAAGCCCAAAACGTGTAAAATAAATTTTTCTGATGGCTTAATTTTTATTAATTTGGGACATACAAGATGCTGTTGGCCATTTAAAAATGCAGTTCCTTTCCAAAGCCCCCTATATCCTTGGTTTGAAGAGCATCTTGGGACAGTGAATTCCTCCATATCATACTGCATTAGGAAATGGTATTAGGCCCTTGAGCCTGGTCGAGCGTTTATGTCACCCAAGGAGTATGGTGGAAAAGGGTCAAAAAAGATCTGAAAACTTGAAAGTCAACAAGTGGCAGCCTGAGCCTTCAAGAGGCATGAGCTAGAGTCCATAAATTGTGCTGTAAGGGCAGGTAACATCTTCTCCCTCCTCTCCAGGGCTACAAGATGGATGATCTTTTAACCTCGTACATCAGCCAGATGTTAACAGCCATGAGCAAACAGAGGAGTGCAAAGGGCGGCAAGTGAACTGCAAGAAGCCGCTGGCATGTGGCCATGGGGCTTATTCACCAGCTGAGGCTTGTGGGGTACCCATGCAGCTGGGGGAGAACCTTTTCCTCTCAAATGTGGAAGATGAGCCGAACACCATCCGGGAGTTCACTGGACTCTGACCTTGAGGGCTCAAATACCACCTCCCCTTCCAGTGAAGATGACTATCTCTGACCTCTCATCCTCTTTTGCCACCCTGTACCTCAACTCTGTCTTAAACCTCAAAGATTTCCAAACACCATCGCTCTCAGACAGAGACTGAGCAAAGAGACCCTGGCAGGATGCTTGCCTGGAACCAAATGGTTGGCATTGCAAAGGCTCTGGGAAGAAGAGGAGTGTGTGTGCATGTGTGTGATGTGTGTGTGACCTTTTATTTTTGTTTTGTTTTTTAAGTAAAGAGAGAGCTACCAGGGTGCTAACGCCTTTTGGAGAGGTTATGGGCATTTCAGGTTGAAGAGAAGTAACAGAGCCCGAAACTATGCTGGAAAGAGATCCAGTGAACACTCTAGGTCTCGTATTTGACCTTACAGAAGAATACACTGTGTTCTTAAGAAGAACAAAATGAAAAAAAAAATGGCTGAGGGGAGTGCATTTAAACTAGGAGTCAGAATAAACAAACCACTGATCGAACAGACTAGAATACTAAAGTGCTGTCTGTGCAATGCTGGAGATATTTAAAGAACAAGTTTTTAAAACTTTCTTTTCTTCCTCTATTTATTTTTAAAAATATTAAAAACAAGCAAAAAAAAAATCCTTCATTTTGTGCCGGTATCTGGACGCTGGCTCGGGGCTGAGGGCGACCTGCAGGACTCTTGCCCAAGGACTCCTGCAGAGCCATGGCTGCCAGAGGCTGAATGTATGCAAGGAACATCTTTCCCAACCCAAGGGCTCAGCTGGAAGTGAAACTGGGAAGACGAATTCTCTCCTTTTGCCCCTTTTTTTCTACACCAATTAGCCCTGGGATGATCTGTACCACAAGCTTCGATATGGATGTAGGAGTTTTGGAAGTCCCTGTGCTTGGAAGACTGTGGCCAAGTTCGTGTTGTGTGTAAAGTGCTCTGATCCAAACAGGGATTTGGTCATCAGAGTTGGAAACAGCTGATGAATTTATTGTGCTTTTGTGTGTGTTGCTCTTTGAGACAGCTCTTTGCTGGTCCAAGGTAGAGTCTAAACTACTCACAGCGAAGTCAGGCTCTTGATTTCTGTGGGCTTTTCTCCATCTGTGGTTGGCTCCGCTGATCTGCTGGTTGGTTGCCTGGTCCCCTACCCGTCACCGCGCAGTGCAGATGAGCCACCATCAGAGCAGAGATGAGTCCCTTGAGCAGAGAAGAAGCTGAAGCCATGCTGTGACTGGTGGGGAGCAGGGGGAAGAGCGCAGGAGTGCGGGCACCCCAAAGGAGCACATGCCTGGGAACGTGGCTTCAGCAGAGGGGGGAAGGGACCACCAAGGTTTGGTGCTGGTTTCACTAATGCTGAGCAGCTCTTGGTAGGTGTAGGAGAGCTCTCCTGGTCCTAAGCATTGGACTGAGCTCAGCTACTTTCATAAAAGTCAGTGTTGCCAGGTGTTGTGTGCTGTCCTGTCAAAATCCAGTGATCCTCACCCTGTCACCGAGATGTTTCCTGATGTTCCCCTGGTTTGCTCAGCCACAGACAGGCCGTTTATGTGACCTTATGTGACTGAGAGCCAGGAGAGACGCTTAGTTCCCAAATGCAGCAGCACTATCATCTGCCTGCCGGAGCGCGAGGATCCGCAGCAGCAACCCTGGACCTTGGCTGTGCCACCGAAGGAAATGAGATGCCGCATGGAGACATCCGCAGGCCAGCAGGGCTCCAAGGAGGTCCCCTTTCTCCACCTTCCCTCTGCCCAAGCTGCTGGGGTGAAGCCAAAGTGTTTACACTGGCCCCACGGGAGTCACGGGCTGCCTCCCCAACACGCATCTCTGATGCTGTGTCCCCTGCTGCACCAGTCCAGCTGTCCCAGGGACCTCCCCACCGCTCCGTGCGCTCACATCACCCACCACCACCGCAGCCTCCTTTACTCTCCCACCATTCCTGCCCTCCACAGCATACTCAGTAGATGATGCAGCATAGCAGTGCTTCCAAGAGCTCTCTTGGGCCAGCTTTTCCCACCACCTTCCTCCCTCCCAGTCACAGCTCTCGGCCCCTCACGCACCCCACCACACTCCAAACAGCTTGGGGTTTCAGAGGGTGCTGGGGCTCTGTGTGCGTGTGCCTGTGTGTCCTACCGTCCGTGTATTAGCATCTGCTGGCCTGTTTATATTCATACCAAACGATGTAACATGAAAGCATATGTCCAAGTGAAATACTCTAATTAAAAAAGCATAAAGTGGCTTGTGGGAGGCTGTTCTGCGATGCTCAGTGGTGTTAAGTGACTTCTGAGGTCCTCCATGGAGACAGGATTTCTCCTTGCAGAGTGAAACTCCTGGTAATAGTAGCAAACTATACGAGCATTTGAACTAGAAATGATGTGTTAAATTTTGGGGTAAAAATCACTGGAGATGGGGGAGTCACCACTGCTCATGCTGTGGGGCAAGGGCTGATTAGTCTGTGATGACCAATTTGGAGCTCAGTCACTGGATGGAGGAAGTATTGGATGAAAAGACCTACACAGCTGAAGATGAGGGAGATGAGCATGGTGAGAGACATCACAGCCAAGTAGCAGGTATACACGTGGACAATGGTGCGTGGTGGGACTTTTCCTAATAGTGTTAAAAGCAACGGTCTCAGCAGCAAAGCCTGTCTCATGCAGGTCTCTCCCCTTGGGCTGTGGATGCTGCGCACTCCACAGCTCAGCCCGCACATCAATTTCCTTTCATTATATGAGCAAAAACCTACGGTCTGATTCAAATAACAGCTACTATTTTTTCCCCTTTCCCAGTGTAATAGAATGAGAGCAAAACAGGGTAGGAGAGCTAAAATGTATTCAAAATAGCATTGCAGGTTACAAAAATGTCATCTTGTCTGTTCAAGTAGAAGTTTATGGCTTAAACCTGAGAGATGCTCGTATCTCCTTTGCAGAATAGGGCAGAGTTGTGCGTAGACCTCCTTCCTCTCATGTGCCAACAGCCACTGGGCACAGTGAAAATCAGAAACAAACACCAGGATGCAGAGCAATTATAAAGATCTTCCCAAGGGAAGGACACTTGGTGGGACCAGGTCACCTGTAGCACAAACGTCCTAAAGGAAGATGTTGTGCTGCTGGTTATAGTCCAAGTGGTTACATTGCCAAGGCACCAAATATCCTTTAGCACCTTTGGACAAAAATGCCCTTGTTCACAACCAAGAAGGGAAAGGGTCTGTCCCAGCAGACCTAGCAGTAAGATTCTCCTGCCTGTAGGTGCAGACCCCATGGTTGGTGCACACTTGGGGCTAGAGAAGACCTGCCAGTAAGGAGGGGGTGTGTGGAGCAGAGGAATTCAGTCTGCCTGGAGAAACACCAGCAGCCAAGGACAAAGCAGGACTGGAGGACGCTCAGATGGTGGCAGCGTGTGCCAAACAAAGATGCACTAACAGAGGATTAGCCCATAACAGGAGGGTATCATCAGGATTGTTTCCTTGTGGACACCAACACCATGAGGAGGGGGCAGGTGATTCCCATGTGGCTGCTGCCAAAGGGATTTAGCATCTAGTCGTGGTGCCCAGCTTTGTCACGGCTGCAACCCCATCTGTGCTCCCCTACAACCTCGTCCATCCATGCCAGGCATGGGATAACAAGGAAAGCTGTAAGCAAGCAGGACAGGACCAAAAAGAGTGGGCATTTTTGAACCATTTCCCCTGGCCAACTCCTCTCCCTCCTGATGCCTTTGCCTGCGTTTTGCTGTCCTGTGGCTGTCACCCCTGTGCGGTGGCTGGTGGCAGGGAGGGGTGTCAGGGGAGGCTCCGCTCTCCAGTCAGGTGAGATAGCAGGTCTCTGTCTCCTCGTCTCTGTCAGGCCACAACTGCAGGCATGTCGCCGAGCTCTGGAGAAGGAGACACAGAGTGAGCTACTTGCAGCAGTTCTGCCAGGAGGTGTGAGCAGAGTCAGACCAAAAATGCACACAGCTCAGGCCATGGGGTCCTGCAGTCTGGGCCGTTAGCCCTACGGAGGATCCCAGTTCTCCTTGCCCCACTCACCTGTCCTGAACTTGTTGTAGGTGCCACTCTCCATTATTGTACCACCGTCATGGGCACAGCAGGAGAAACTCCGCTCCCGCCACCTGTGCAGTGCAAGACATCTGGGTTAGGCTGCTGCTTGATGTGGGTTCCTCTTGAAGCTACTTGGACCACTGGTCACTCATTTCTTGCTTTGTCAGAGCAGGAATCGCCCTCAGAATTTTGGAATTTGTTCAAATCCCTTCTATAAAGGGACCCTGCTCGATGACTGTGCTGCCTGTGTGTCCACCCCACACATACAGCAGTATTTTGGAGGCAACTTTATGACTAAGACCTGTTTTCTATGAGAGATTGAAGTGTTCAGAAACCCTAGACTTGTTCACAGCAACTGGTTCCTAAGCAGCCAGGAAAATTTTAGAGTTGTGATTTTTGGTAAATCTGATATTTGTAAATCTGTTATTTTTAAATCTGACAAACAAGACCAGACATAGACTTTAGGCATTGCTGATGCCACCTCACTCCTTATACATGCTGGGAGTGCCCTTGTTTCACAGCCAGCCAGGAAAAAGGGATATGGCTGGATCAGCAATGTCTGCAGGGTTCTGGGGAATCTGGGAAACGTGCACACTTGAGGAGGGAAAAACCTCGGTGTCCAGCAAATTTACCTGTACAGCTACCAGTTCATCACCTGGTTAAATTGTAACCTATTCATCTCTCCATCCTCCCAGAGCAAAAATAGATCTGCTTTTTCCACACCAAAGCAGTGTGTCTTGTCCAGCTCTGTATTGACACAGAGCCTGTTTTGTGAACTTGTTTTCCAACATATAAAGTGGAGGCAATGTCTTTGAATCAATGAGAGGAAAAATAAACTGCGGTGCCTTTGAGATGCTCATGCTTTCGATTTGCATCTGGGAGGACAGATTTCTTGAGTGGCTCTGACATAGGAAGATACAGAGACATGGTGCTCAATTACTAACAACGAGAGCTTTTCTCCTAAGTAAATCCTATGCAACAGTGTCTATAGTGTGAGAGCAGAAGAATCAGCTCTCCTTTCAGTCTATCAGCTTTGATAACTGGCTTTGACGGCTACCCTGAACCCATAGATCTTCACTGAATCTTGGGGTGGATGATGCCCAACTTGCCAAAAGAAAAGGAAAAATAAGAGCAGATGTGGAGGGATCTTTGGAGTCCTAAAGGGCTTTCTTCTAACTCCTGAAGGGAAAGATGTCCTTCATAGCACTTTTAGCCATCCAGATCACCTGAAAGCATCCCTCCACCCCTCTGGTTGGAGCAAGAGAACAGACTAGAACAGCCATTAGCAACTCAGTATTTACCAATGCAGAGCAAAGATGAGTGAGATGAGGAGCATGGAGGTCACATCCGTCAAGATCCACATGATGTTGTACTGCTGTGGAGTCTGCAAGAGAACAACAGAGGATATATCCAACATCATGGAGCTATCACAGAATCTGACACTCAAAACCAGCTGCTGAAGTTCCCTCTTGCTGCTTGATTGTGGCAATCCAGCTGCCTGGTGTTCACCTGTGGCAAGAGTACCCGGCCCAGTACTGGCCAGTGGTGTCCTCCAAGGGTCAGTAGTGGGCCTGGTGCTCTTCAACTTGTTCATCAGTGACTTGGACAAGGGCACAGAGGGCACCCCCATCAAATCTGCAGGTGACACCAAACTGGAAGGAGTGGCCAACACTCCCGAGGGCTGCGCTGCCATTCAGAGGGACCTGGACAGGATGGAGAGCTGGGCAGAGAGGAACCGTGGCCAAGAAGGCCAATGGGCTCCTGGCTGCAGCAGGAGCGTTGCCAGCGGGCGAGGGAGGGATCCTGCCCCTCTGCTCAGCTCTGGGGAGGCCGCACTGGAGCATTGGGGGCAGCTCTGGGCTCCCTGGGACAAAAGGGACGTGGAGCTTCTAGAGAGGGTCCAATGTAGAGCCATGAAAATGATGAAGGGACTGGAGCATCTATCGTATGAGGAAAGACTGAGCAAGTGGGGCCTGTTTAGTCTAGAGAAGAGAAGACTGAGAGGGGATCTTTTCAACATGTACAAATACCTGAGGGGTGATTGTAGGGAGGATGGGGCCAAACTCTTCTCCATGTGGCTGGTGATAGGACAAGGGGTAACGGGGACAAACTGAAACACAGGATGTTCCATCTCCATGTGCAGAAGAACTTCTTTCCTGTGAGGGTGCCAGAGCCCTGGCACAGGCTGCCCAGAAAGGCTGTGGAGTCTCCTGCTCTGGAGATCTTCAAACCCACCTGGATGTGCCCAGGTGCCCCGGGCTCTGGGTGTCCCTGCTGGAGCAGGGGCTTGGACTAGATGATCTCTGGAAGTCCCTCCCAACCACAACCATCCCGTGATTCTGTGAACATCTCTCAGTTTTTAAACAGCATTTGGTAGCATTTTTAAGCGGCCACCAGCCTGCATGTGCTGATGCCAAATCAAAATGGGATGGCTGCGTGTCAGGTGTCAAAGAAGATTGGGCTATACCACAATGAATAAAACAGGGTTCTATTGTTTGCATAGGCAGACCTTACAGTCATCTCTCCTCTCCAAGGTTAAAATTAACTAGTGCCACCTGATTTCCCCTTGCAAGACTATACTTCATTGAACACCATAGAAGGCTGGGGTATCTCCTGATTTAAATCTAAAAGCATCTTAAGATTCACCCTCAGACAGAACCTCTATCCATTCTCACAATGGACTTAATATCTGTAGTTTGTTGTTCTCTCAAATGGGAAAAAGGAAGCATTGTAAAATTCCCTTCATGAGTGTGAAGCCAGTTACACAGTGTTACAAGTTACCCTTGCAAGGACTCTAGTGGAACCAATGTCCCAGATGCCCCTTAGTCCTTTAGGTTCTTCAAGGAAGAGTAGGAAACAGACAAATAGAGTGAAAAAAATATTCCACCAAGGCAGTATTATCTCTATGGTTGTTTCCCTTTTGCTTGAGGCATCAGCCCAGACTTGAGAAGAGGTACAGGAGGCCCCAGGAAGTGAAGAACTTCTGAGATAAACAAGCTCCAAAAGTTTGGAAATGGAAATCCTCACCCAAAGCCACATGTAGCCTCAAAGCCCCCTTCATTCTCCCCACAAAAGCCTGAGTATGACTTTTTTTGTTCTCCTCTCAAGGTCTAAGTCTCTTAAGTCTTACCAAACAGAATGTTTCTCTCTGGGCCAAGAGGAAAAAAAGGAGACAAAGTGGTAATGCCGGGAGTTGCTCACAGAAGCCAATAAGCTAGAGCTCTCCATCCAGAGGGACACCTCCTTTACCTGTGCATGAATTGATCTGCTCTCCAAGTGCCAGTATGAACATCCCATCCCTACTTCGTACCCCCACCAATAAGGGAGGATTTTTGCTTACCATAAGGAAGAGTGGCTGGCTGAGGTTCTTCAGCACATGGACAGTGTTGGTGGTCACAGAGTGAGCCCCAGAGCACCACGCCAAGGAGAAGAGCCATGGCTCGTTGATCACATAGAGGTTGGTGGTGATATTCGCCTCAGCATATTTCCTTTAAAAGAGCAAGAAGTTTTTATATTTGTTAGGGAAATAAAGAAGCTGTGTACTGCCTTTGGGCTGAGTTTCATAACAATATGTTTAAACTCACTTCACAGCTGGCTACTCAACAATATTACATTGTTTGATCGTTTGTCAAACCCTTATAAGCTGTTGAACCTTAATATGAAGTGTGACCATTCTCCAAAATTGCTAAAGAAATGTCATCAGTATCAAAGTTGATACTTCGAAGTATTGAAGTTGATATGTAAAACTACCTAGGATCTACCCTGGATCTACGTTGAATTTTATATTCTGAAAGATGATCATTAAGAAAACATCAACTCATCCAATGTTATAAACTTTTGCACTCCTCTCCAATTTTTTTTTTTTAGATTTAAATGCTCTTGCAAATGGAAAAGAGCAAAAACTCAATTTACAGAAGGAGAGCTGGTCAGTCAAGATACCTTTTTCATGGAAGAGAATCATTTTGAAAAATACTCTAATGACAATGAATCAGTCAATTGGAGAATTGACATTTTCAGTGTATCACAAGCAACAGAGCAATAATAGCAACAGAGACAACAACTCCAAGACACCAGCTATGAAAGGGTGATGGTCCCTCACCACAGTGTTAAACATTCACACTGATGTTTGTGAAGGAACCACAGCAGGCTACAGAGTTCTTTATTCTCCACAGTTAAGTACTTGCTGTTATTTGGAATGATTTGTCCATCCTTGGCTTCAGTGCAATACAAGGAATTGGGACACTTGGATTCCTTTACCCTGAAGATCCTTAGATCCTGTAAGAGTAATTAATACAATGCCCCTTGATGGTGGAGGGAAGATAGAGGCAGCACAGGGGGAGGGTTGCAATTATATCTACCACCTCTTGGCCACACACAGGCTCAATAAAAGGAGTGAACTAGAGTTCTTCATCTTCAAAAAGCTATAGGAATAGTTCTTCCCAAAATGATAACAGATCCTGCAGTCAGGCACTGGAGGGAGACATTGCCACATACACAAGGCAAGTGCACTCCAGATACTCCAGTCTATTGACTCTACTAGAGGCTGAAATTGCTACTTACTGAATATCTTCACTGGACATTTCAGTGTAGGCCAGATTGAGTTTGACAACATTGTCCATCAGTAGGTCTTCAACTGGGGCCTTACTGCCCATTGTCTGCTGAAACCCAGGAGCAACGGACTGAACAAAGGACCTCATGTCGTTCTCCAGCCATAGGACCTGCAGGCAACAAGAACACCCAGTGAATTCACAATAGAGTTACTAATACACCCTGCTCTTTACAACTCCAACAAGTATAAGCTCTGGCAGGGCTTAGTACAGGCCTGTCAAATGTCATATGTTGTGCAATGATCAAAAGATATTTGAACCCAGGGTTATAACTTGCAAGTCACTCTCATAAAGAAATAAGTATTCACTGTTCCTTGCTTATCAGCTTGAAATCAAGGAGTAATGTTTTACACAGCCGCACAAAAGATGCTGGGTTTCTGTGAGAAAAGGCATCTTTGGTTAATGAGAAAGGCAACAGAGAATAAAGATCCTTGTTTCCATGATGGGAGAAGCGATCCTTAGTGGACACAGCTTAGTGTAATTGCCCTGATATCAATGGATATATACACTCATATGCATAAACTTAACAGCTACTGCAAGCAGAGAGTTGCCTGGTGAGGAGGAAGGTTATGGGAGGATCCAGTTCCAGATATTCTAATTTGAGACAGGGGCTTCCACTGTAATACATAAATATAGAAGATGACAGAGTATAGGTTACAGTGGGGAAAGGATGCACTTTAGGGGCTAAGGCATCAGCTAGTATTCTTTGTCCAATTTCTCTGGACTGCTGTAGGCCTACACCGTTTTGTACATGCTAAGGAACTGATGCTAGGAGTATATTCCAAATCATGTATTTTAAAAGAGGTTGTTGAAAGAGGGACTGTACAAAAAGAAGAAGGATACACAAATTTGGCCCTGTAAAGAAACCATTTTTATAATGGACTGTGCCCATAGATAAGTCTTCCCAATGAAGAACTGAACTGCAATGGGCTGTATTCTGTGCTGGTGAAGTCATGCTGGGTATAACCTTAAAGTCTCAGTTCAGCAAATGGAAAGGACATGGAGGAGTGAGACCATCCTACCAGATGAGGTTTAATCCCCGATTCATTGAGGATGACTTCCAGGGTTCTGTTGATCCAGGAATTCCTGTAAGGATGGGTCTCTGGAGGGCGGTAGAGATCAAATATCACAAGTTTATTCTGACTGTCTGCGAGGCGCAAGAAATTACTTAGCTTGTAAATTGACTGATTCATTGCCTGGTTTTGATCTGCCCTTGACAGTGAGCCCATGCATGAAAATGGTTTGTCCTAGAAATAAATAAATGCAAAAGGAAATCAATCAGTCAGTAACATCTAGGATAGTTAGTTACATGCAAACAACTCGTATTTGTGAGAAGTTTGGCATCAACCCCCAGTGGTTCATATTTTGTTTTGTTTTGCCCTTCTACCCGAGGATCAGAGGAAATGAACCCAGGTTCTGATGACAGCTTCTGGGACATAAACTATGTCACTTCTCACCGCTTACCTCTCCCACCCTCTTGGCTGTGGCTATTATGCACAGCAACTTGCACCAACAGTTGTTGCCAGCCCACCAGTTCTTCTGCTTCTATGATAAGGAGCCACAAGGACATCCCACAATCAAATATGATAGGTCTCCTAGACCTAAAGGCCTTCTGAACAAAGAAAAGAGACCTCAGCTGAAATATTTCTATGGACTTCTTTGAGTTTTGGGCCAACTGGTAACTCCTGTCTTAATTCTAATAATCAGTAGCCAGGTGTTACCTCTTCAATAGCCGGTTGATAGTCTTTGATGGCACTCACCTTAAAAAACCATGTCCCAGCGTTCAGCTCCTTCAGGGTGTCCCAGGAGAAAAATGCTGCATTTTGGGTAGTCTCATTGGGGTAGACCTCCCCAATGTTGGTTGTCCTTTTCAAGGTGCTGTCGTGCATGAGAAAAGCAACCCCATCATAGCTGTTGGAGAGCAAGAGGCCAGGTTATCATCTGGGACATGGCTCCATTCATGGTGTGAGCCAGGTCAGGACCATTTAGCAGAGGGTGCATTAGGGAAAGTGGCTCAAAACACTAAGTTATAGCTGACATACTACTGAGTGACTTTGGAGAAGTCAAGTCTCTCTATGCCTCAGTTTTCTCATGGACAAAGTGTAGATGGAGGCATTTATATCTACCATATCACAAAAAAGATATTAATTCTTCTACAGTAGAGAACCTAAATATAAGTAATTCCCTCACTGAAGTCCTGATTTCACACTATCACAGTGCTACTGAAGTGCTAATTAAAAAACTGTTTGCCCTATCCATCATATTAACAGTTTACAGCAAAGGGTCCCATTCATATGGGCAATTAAAGGTCTAATAATTAGGGCAAAGCTACGACAGGTCTGTACACAATTTCCTGACATTTTATTAGGCCTAATCCAACACTCACGGAAGTCTGGAAGCCAACTATGGTTGAGGCTCTGCAAAGCATTTAAAATGTACTGTAGAAATAATGATTGGTAAATCAATAGCTCCAAACTTATTAACTTTCCTGAGAACAATCATGCTGCACAGCCTGTATCACCAGACACCAACTGAGGGATCCTAGTCCCAGACATTAGTAAAACCTGGTTGTCCAGAATTTAACAATTCCAAAAGGAAGTCTTAGAAGCAGCGGTTCACATTCCTAGAGACACAGGTCTTCTTCTTACCTAATGGTTACATCTGTTTCAAGACCATCTCCACCATGTTCAATGGTCTTCTGAAATGACATCTCAGTGTTTTCTGGTGCCAGCTGGGAAGAGAGTAGCCTATAAGAAGGTTGTTTTCATACACACTGAAGAACTCTGTAAATACTGTCTCTCCATTAAAGGAATTATCTTGTTAGTGTACTGTGTTCTGCAATGGGAAGTCTTTGTTTTATTCCACCTTAGCTGTTACACCTATCTTGTGCCTACAGAGCAGTATCATCAAACCCATGCAGTGATGCCTTTGATTCCAAAATGAAATGCATCCCCTCCACCCCTACAGACTGTTCTTCTTTTTAACTCTTGGGGGAAAAAAAGAACATAGCAATGAAGGTAAAAATACAAAGGATGAAGGAATGATGTAAAATATCTTCTCCGAACTTACCATTGGTGCTCCACGGTGCCCAATGAGGGCTGGCTTTGGTCCAAGTGTCCCCACCTCTCTGATGCAAGGTGAGTACATCCCCAGAGGTATCAAGAAAAGAAAGAGAAGGATAGCCAGGTATGGACCAACAATTATCACCTGAACAACTGCAAGAATTTGAAGGAGGAAGGCTAGAGTTAATCCATGTGGCAATAAACGGGTTTGCCTTGCAGCTTGACTTTTAATACCGCCCTCCAATTAAACAGCTGGTAGGCTTTGTCCCACCCCTAACCCATCCCTCCTTCCCGTAACCATCACATTCACTTCAAGAACACAATCCAGGAAATGCATGGGTAGAAAGCTGCAAAATATCCAGCTTGGATCTAAGCTCATTGCCTAGGTTTTCTGAAGCACAGGAGAGAGACAGGCACTGTCAGAAGGCAACAGCCTGTATGTCTCCCATAGGCTAGGACAAGCTGCCTTCTGCACATCCCTGTCCCTCTGCTTTGAGTAAGCCTATTTGCTGAGCTGTCTGTGCAGTCAGTGAGCACAAGCAGCCACCACACCTACTTTGGGCATCAAAAGGGGAAACTGCCACTTTTGCTTCAACAGCTAGGGTGGTATTTGCTATAAACCCTCCAGTTCTGCCAGTCTGAAGGACAAAACATGTTTAGTCTGGTTATTGAGCCATCATCTCTCCATGTCTAAAGCAGGGTATATAATATATAAAATGTTGGGGTCCATTCTCCAGGCAAGATGCAAATGTGTAGAGCACAGTCCACAGCCATGAAGCTACACTGTTTTTCTCCTCAAGGCAGGACTACCAAAACCGAACTCCTTCCTGAGTATGAAATTGAGCTTGTGACAGTCCCCAAACCATGTCCAGTTACTGCCTTGCTACAGGCCAGAACTGTGCAAAGCAACAGTAATGGGTCTAGAAAGCCACAGGACAGTGCACGGCCCCAATCCCTATCCCTGCTAATTTCCCACAGGATAAAGGCCACCTGCAGCTTGAGTGCAGATGTGGGGAGAAAGGGCTTCTGCATACTGGGTTTCACATGCTGACACGAGTCTTCTGTCATACAGGGAACAGGGAGCAGAGCTACTATACCTTTCTTATCTGCTCTGATGGCATGCAGAGCCACGGGCCAGGACAGGAGGACCATGACGGTTATTGCCCCTATGTGGAGATAGGGAGCAGTGATCTGGAAAGAAAAGGATTTGAATCACTGGAGACGGGTAGAAACAAATCCCAATGCAGCTACAACTCTCCACAGCGAAGGAACAGACACTGACAGCTCACCCTCTCTCCCAGCCCAGGCTAAGGAGTAGCCCTCATTTTAGCCTTCAGCTCTCCTTTCTCCTAATCAGCTAAGCAGGCAGGGCTGTCCTCTTCCACAAAGGCTCAGCACAGTCTCAGAGCAGGACTCTCTCTCTCCATTACCAGTACCTCATAATATAGGAATATCTTCCAGAAAGCATCAAGCTAATCCAACCTAACCCAGCCCAATCCAATCCAAACCAATCCAATTCAATGTAACCCAGTCCATGAAATGGTTGTCTCAGGGATACACTGCAACTAGATCTTTAAACTGATGTCAACAAACCTGAGTGATAAAATTTGGTCTTTTACACCAACATGGAACTCACGTAATGTAAAAGACCCAGTTAGCCTGGCACGTGTCTAATCATGGATTTTATCAGCCTCATACACATTCTGCAGCACCCAGCCTTACAAATTAACAATGTATCCCAGGCAAATAATTAATTCTCATTTATTTCAGTGAAACACTTTTTCTTAAAGAAAACATTTAGTTCATTTGCATTAGTGCTAATTGCATTGTTTTTCTTCTTTTTCTTACTTACAACTTGGAGTTGGTGGCCTCATAGATACTTCTATTGTTTCACTAACAGAAAACAACAGATCTTAGTGCTTTCAAAATATTATAGAAAAGCTATTGCTGAACAGATACAGTAACTGCACTGGATTTTTTTGGTCCTAAAGATTAAACAAGATAACTGAGAACCACTTCTGCACTTGTCTTATATGCATAACCAGAACAGGAAACTTAACGGATAGGTTGAAGAGCTTGGCTCTTCATTCAAGTAATATTGGTATGACATGCTCCTTAAAACTTTGGAAATCTTACAAAGAAACCAATCCATTATCTTTGTATGCTTTCGTTGCGTGTTATTCTCTTCAGAGACTTGTGGATCCAGCTGTAGCTGAAACTTGGAGTTATTAAATATGTGCTAGGGAAAAGAGATATCCATATGTCTTTTCTATTGCTTAGTCCGTATTCAGAATAACATCTGGCTGCTGATGGAGACAGGAGGTATGGCAGGAGTCCTTGTTACAATACGTGGCTGCTCTCCAAGGCAGTCTGTGGAAGTCTGTGTATAACCATTTCCAGATTTGTTTTTAAAAGTTTAGTTTAATTTTAACTCAGATGACTGAACAATGATGCTGGCTATTACTCTTTCACTAAATCAGTCTGTCCAACCTGTTGCTTGAAATCTAGAACATTTGATAGAATTTCCTTTCAAGAAGAGGCTGGAAAATGCAATGTTCATGTCACAGGATACACCAACATTTCCCACTTATTTTCCCTTCCAAACTGGAACAAGAAAAGGCAGATACCCAGCACTTTGCAAGGTGCATCAGCAGACAGCTTGCTTGCAGCAGTTGCTGAGTGATCTTGTGCATGACACCGTCTATCCGTGATACTTGATATCAACATCTTCTAACCAGAAACAGCATTTGGTTATGCAAAAATAAAGGTGTCATTCGAGATGTCCAGGATATCTGAGATAACTGCACAGGACTAATGGATGCGACACAAGATCTGCAAGAGCCTCATGGCCTTTGGGAACCGCAGGAGGAGGCCATCTCAAAGGACACAAACACCTGCACTAAACAGCACCATGGCAACCTGAACACTTTTTTTCTCAGCTCCCCTGGAATCCTTAAAGGAGAGGAGAAGCTGTTGATGTCTTCTGTTTATCTGCACCAGAACAGAGACCTAAGGTTGCTGAACTTTGTAGAGCAGGGAGAAGTGTGTGGTCAACTGTACCCCACAAACAGCACATCCCAAACATGCTGCAGTGGCTCTTGGGCTGCTAGCTGATTCCTCTTCCAGTCCATATGCATTGCCCTCCTCATATTCACAAGCAGCAAATGAAGGTAAGTGGGGAGAGATGATGTACCCAGATAGTATCTGAAGGCAATTCTATGATCACAGGCTGGCAGCTTCCTTCCCAGTACACATGGGGATCCAGATGCTTTGAGCAGCACTGGGCAGCTCTGCCATTTACCTTCAGATCTGCCAGAAGCTGAGGAAGCTCTAGCAGATCACACACAGGGATGTCCTGCATCCCACAGGCTGTCCCATCTCACGGTGACAATCCCCACCTGCTGTCCAGGAACAGGCCAATGCTGTCCTGTCTGCAGGAGGGAAAGCTCCCTGTGCCACAACTGGAGAAAAGAAAACCTGAACTTTTGGTAATGTTAAGGCCACTGAACTGACAGAAACTGAGTAGGGAACAAGTCCTTGTTCCAGCGACCCTGCCAAGCCAAGGGGTCTGATTTAACCCATCCTGGGTACCTGTGAAGAAACAGCACATACGACGTTTTTGCCAAAAACAAAGGATGAGACTTCCCAAAATGAGACCTTTTACATCAAACAGGTAGATTGAAACCAAACGTCAGGTCTTGGCTTCCATTCTCTCAATTGCAAATGTAAAATCATAAGAAAACTTTATGCAGAACTGCACAATCTGTCAGTAAAAACACATGAAAAATATCATCCTACTGAAATTTTTCTACCTATTTGCACAAAATACTTCTATAAATCTTTTTTTTTTTTAACAGATGCCCCAGTTCTTCTTACCTGGAATGACAGGCGGACAGTTTTCCATTGATCTCCCCACAGCACAGAAAATATAAAGAGGGCTGCGACAGAGAAGCCCAGGACAAGAAAAGTCCCAATCTGGGGAGGCAAACAGGAAATAAATCAGTTTTGGCACTTCTGCACAGGGAATGCAATGCATCTGCCTGGCGGCTAGGATTGGGGTGCATGAGTTATGCCAGCGCAGAGACAGAGTTACAAGGAAATAAAATCAGACCAGCAGTGCTGTTGATTGGATTTTCTCTGTGGTAAGATGGATTTTAAGAGTTGGGTGCCAAGGCTGAATCATCCTTCAAGGCTCCCTCCACAGTTAGTGGCCAAAGGGAGGAATTTGCAGGGGTCATGAGCAATGCCTCTCTCTCCATCTCTCTTCCTTTTCTCCCTCTCTTTCTCTCACTTTGTGTTATTGTGGATGAAGCCTAGATCGTCAGCTTACATCAGATCCCTAACTTGTAGATGGCTAAATTCAGAAGTGAAAAATCCCTGAGACAACAACATAACTTCCTTATGCTGGAAATTCATGTAAGTCTCTGCTGTGCAACAGACTTCTTCAGCTGCAAACACTCATATAACTCAGGGATGAGACCTCACTTTTTAACTGCAAAAGTGAGGAGGTAGCTCATTCTCATCTCTGGCTTCTTGCTTGGTTTGAGAACAATGCAGGTTATGGTGGCAGGCTCATGTTTATATACCATCTATTTTCTAACAACTAAATTCAAGCAAAAATTGCAATGATACTGCAATTTTCAATCGGATTTCCCATATTTCAGGAGGATCATACAGATCAATACATCACATAACTGCCAAGAATTTCTTACAGAAGGTGATCTGAAGACACGACTTTGTAGCAACAGCTCCCTGAAGATTTGCTTCTCAACCTTCAAAACCCCAGATGGCATTTCCCACACCATCCAAAAGGCATATGACACCGGGATGCCTTGGAAAAGCCAGATTTCTGATCTACAGAGATATCAGCCACTTTGTTTACAGCTGCTGGAGGCTGCTACAGAGCAGAGACTTACACTGCGCTTCCTAAGGAAACTTTTCTTTTGCAATAGGTTACCTCTAGGTAAGCCTAGAGGTAACCTATGTCACCATAACTAGACATGTCAAATATAGATGTCCTCATCTGAATGAGTCATCGCAAGCTGCTTTTGGAGTCAGTGGGAAGGAGAGGTACTTCAGCTGTGATTCATCTCCTCTTAATTTAGATGTCTACAACCAGCTGGATGAAGCATCCGCAGAGGCTGTTTCTTTCCAACAACTGTACAGGGAGGTTGGGGTGATTAACTCGAGTGCAGATATCACTCTCATGCTATCTAAAGTAAGTCTCCTAAGAGTCATTCCCTCTATTCCTTCCTCATAACCTACACTGCTTTTTCATGTAGAGACACATCACAAACTCCATTGGTTAAAGTGCAGATTAGGGTTGCCATAAAGTTCTGACTCTCCCTACCTTGTGACTCCAGTGCAGGTACAGCTGCTGACCTTCTGCAAGCAGACACATTGCTAGGACCTGGGAAACCAAGAAGACATGGTTTGTATCTTGGTATACAATGCTGACATGCATTTGGGAAAGTATGTCCGGATTATTTTTGCATTGGAAAATCACGTTACTCCAGGACTTCCCGCCAATGGCATTGCTGATGGTAAAACCCGTGTAGGAAGAGAACTGGTGGGTATTTTGCTGTTGAAAATATGTTCCTGAAATGGTGAAGCACCTATCAAGATCATTCCACAGGACCACTGCTTCCCACAGCTAACAGACAATTGGGCATCTTGGTCACCTCTGATGGCTCTTCTTTCTCTGAGAAGGCAAACTATGAAAGAGAGAGGCTGGCCAGGGCCAACTGCCATAATGCAAACCAATATGGCACTAACTTTGACTATTTTCTGTTAATGTATTGTGTCTAGAGGAGTAGCAGTCATGGGAGAGAGCTCAGAGAATTAAAAACACAGAGCAGAGAGCAAAAGTAATGATGCTTCCAGAGTAACTGCAAGAAGTGCGAGAGACAGGCACATCCCAGAACACAGACAGGAAAATTCAAAACCGTAGCTTTGCCAGGTTTATTTTGGCCCTCAGCTGTGGCCTTGTGGCAAGCCTGTTCCGTTCTCTGATCCTGCGAGGCAGAGCACAAACCCCCATCCCATGGCAGGGGACAGCAAAAAGGTCTCCACCACACCAGAGTGACTCTCCCACAAGTGAAGTACAAGGAAAAATCACCCAGGGCTCTGCTGGAGACTCCCCAAGCTGTCACAGATCTAAGCAATCCATGAACCTGGTGATGACTTTCATAAGCACAGGTATAGGGAAGAGCATCGCTTTACAGACATCAGTGCTCCACTGACACGGTCAATGTATGACCCAAGTTCCTCCAGACTGTCACACAGTGGGTTTATCTGAAAGCAGGACATTCAGTTTCAGAGCAATAATTTAATGGGAAGGGGCTCTGCTCTCCTGAAATCCAACTGCAAAGGAATGTTGTTTCTGATGCAGCTACAAACAAACTGTCTTTCCAGAATGGTGCTGATTTGAAGAGAGATAGGCTCAGTAGAGAATACAGATCAACTTTTAAAGTGCTCCTTGACATATTAGCCTCCTTTAATTAAATCCTACACTCAGTATATAATGACTAACCATGGGAGCAGTTCACAGAAAATCGAATTACTGCTGAAGATCTTAATCCAGCCCCGTTAAAACAAGCCAGAAAGAAAGAACTTA